GACGCAGTGAACAAAGCAAATATGTCGATTCCTTGTCTAACCGAAGAGACAGCCAAAACGGTTCTGCGTCAGGTTCAATCTAACTTCTCTGCTTCCTTTTTCTTCTCTTCGGTTTCTCTAAGGCGTCACCAGTTTTTTTTTTTTTAATTTATTGGTGTCGATTTCTCTCAGGTGGAGTTTTACTTCAGTGATAGTAATCTTCCGATTGATGATTTCCTCAAGAAGACGGTTACAGAGAGTGAAGATGGCTGTAAGTTTCGAACAATTCTGTGTTGTTATTGCCATGTGATGATTGATTTATTGTATTCTTAATTCTGTTTCTGGTTTTGGAAAAAAAACAGTGGTGAGTTTGGCGTTGATTTGCTCCTTTAGTAAGATGAGAGCATATTTGAAGTTGGGTGATACAAAAGGTAATGATATTCCTGAAGATACTATCAAAGCTGTTGCTGATACTCTTCGAACCTCTTCGGCTCTCAAGATTTCAGAAGATGGTGAGTGTTTTTTTTTTTTTTTGTCTTATAAGCGCATGATTGAATCCAATTTCAATTGATAAGGCTTTGGAGTAGTGAATCTTTGAAGGTGTTAAGAGATTTGGATATAGGTGAAGGGGTCTGTGTAGTGCTACATTGATTTGGATTTAACAAGTTTGTTTATATAATGGTGCTCAGTTTGGAGAGATAGCTTTTTACACCTTTAGTGAACGGCTTTAGTAACCATTTTTGCTTATTCGATTTGCTTACACAGGGAAAAAGGTTGGTAGGAGTACAGAATTGTTGAAGCTGGAAGACTTGATTGATCAACTTAATGCTAGAACCGTAGCTGCTTCACCTTTCTCGTATGATGTTAAAAGGGAAGACGTGGAAGCCTTTTTCAGCCAGTATGGAAAGGTACTCCACTATAGATTGAGTTACAATCAACTTTCAGAATTTAGCAAATATACTGACGGTCAAACTAACCGGTTATGCAAGTGTGTGATGTATGTTTGTGTTTTTCTTTTAGGTTAATAGTGTTAGGATGCCTCGTCATGTAGCAGAGACAAGAGTATTTTGTGGTGTTGCTTTGGTTGAGTTTCCTACAGAAGAAGAAGCCCAGAACATTATGAAGCAAAATTTGGTCTTTGCTGGTCTGGAGTTGGAGCTTAAACCAAAGTAATTATACTTGGGCATGAAAACGTGTCCTGTTTTCTGCTTGTTTCTCATTTTATTAGTCTTTTCTATTCATTGTTGGATGCCTTACTTAAAAAGATGATATGTTCTTTTCAGGAAAGAGTTTGACGCTGACAGGGAGAAGGATGAAGAAAAATTTGCTAATTACCAGCCTCAAAAGAGTTCTGCAAAGCAAAAGAACGAGTCTGATCACAAGAACAGTTCTGAACAGGAGGCAAGGTAAGGGTTTGATGATTGCCATTAATTTTCTTGCTAATAATTTTCTTGATCTGATTGTGGCTATTGTATATAGTTATAGTTATCCTAAGGGATTGATCATTTCATTCACCCTCAAGCGTTCCGCTGAAGAGGAGGGTACCACAGAACAAAAAAGTTCTGAGGAGACAACCGATAAGACAATGGATGAGAATGAATCAAATCCAGCAGATAATCCTGATGCTGATAAAGAAAACACTGACCAGGCTCAGGGCCAAGGACCAGAGGATGAAGATGATGAGGAGTCTCCTGATTCTCTGACTAAAAATGGGGAGAAAGAAGAAAAGGGAGCTCTGGCTACCCATAAAGATAATAAGGATGTTGTCTTACGTGAAGATCTTAAGGCTGTTTTCGGAAAATTTGGTGATGTCAAGGTACTACATAAGTTTTCTTTAGTTGTCTAGATAAAGCAGATTCAATATCTCATATAGACTCTTGTCGGTTCCCTGCTGGTCATGATTTACTGGCCGATATTCCTTTTGTTCGTACTGAAATTTTGTCATTTCACTCTATTTTGTAGTTTTTAGTACTCATTGTTGATAATGATTCCTTATTTCCTTTTTTGCTGTAAAGTTTGTGGATTTCAAGATGGGAGCTGAGACGGGATACCTTAGGTTTGATGAACCTGAAGCATCCCAGAAAGCCCGTGCAGCAGCAGTATTAGCCAAAGAAGGTGGACTAGCCGTGAAGAATTTTATTGCGGTCCTAGAGCCTCTTACTGGTGAAAAAACATTTCCTTAACTTCCATCTTATCTTGAACTATATTTGTTCTGCCTGAGTTTAATGGTTTATATTGCGATGTCAGGCGAAGCCGAAAAGGAGTATTGGACTCTCCTTCGCAGCAAAGATCGGTTTGACAGGGGTGGCCGTGGAGGAAGGTGAGTACATGTTTTGGTATTAAATCATCATATACTAGGCCTGGGAATGTTGTTTTTTTTTTTTTTGGGTTTTCAATTCGGATCATAAAATAAAATGGAAGTACCAATGAATAACCATTGCCATGTAGTTTTTGTATACTATGTAACGAAAGTTTAGATTTATCTAGATTGGTTGCACAAAATATTGTTATTGGTTTGTTTAGGCTTTAAGAATTTGTGGTTTGGCCAAAGAAGCGATTAATCAGAGACTCGTTTATGGTCTATTCAGGGGAGGAAAACATCAAAGAGGAGGGCGATTCGGGCGTAAGAGGGGATCTGATTCCCCAGGCGGTCGCTGGAACAAAGCGCAGAAGGTCGAAGCATGATCCAGTACTTTGTTGCTTCTTGCTTTTAAGATATCTCTAGTTTTGACTTTATTTATTTCCTTAAGTTTTGTATACCTCTCTACTTGTGACTCTCGTGTGATGTTATAACCAGCAATTTGTAGTAGTTGCTATTTGGCAAATTTTGGTTTTTTTTTTTGGTTCTACTCTCACATTTCTCTTTCCTATTTTAAAATCTTTCTAAAATTATCGTAACACCACCATCTATAATTGCAAAAAGGTGTTCAACACATACGTATACAAAATCATAATACTACAATATTAACTCAGTTTTAAAATGCTAAAGCTTTTTACGAGAAAGTGTAAGCTAATGAATGCATATATAGTGCTATTTTGAATGTTTTTTTTTGTTAAAAAAAAATGAAGAATTT